ACTTGACCCGTCCACCTCGAAGGAGGGCACAGGTGTGCCAAGCTCCGGGCGCCACCTGCAGCACATCAGATACATCAGCCGCCCCGGAGCCGAGGGCTACCAGGGTCAAGTTTTGACCCATCTCGCCAGGCTCGTCCCCAACGGGCGCTCCGGAACCGGAGCCAAGCTGACCGAAGCCGCCTGCTCCCCAGCAGGTGAAGCTTTGGTTCTCCAGCACAGCGCAGCTGTGCCAAAACCCGCAGGCCACCTGCGATGGGGGAGTGTGGGAGTGTGGCCACCGCCGAGTGTGAAACCCATACTCTGACTGGGAACTCCACTGCTTGCGTCGATGCTTTCACTGCGTGGACGCGGCAGATTTCATGTGCTATCCGAGGCCACGCTGCTCCAACAGTCTCTCTAGAGCTCAAAACCCTGAAAGGACTTGGAAAAAGTTGCCGCGAGAAATTGTGAGAACGGCATCTCATGTATATAGGGTTTCGAAATGCTTAGAGGGCTGTGAGAATTGCAGACGGCCTGCGTAGCACCGGCAGCAAGGTCGACGAAGGGGAGGTGTTCCCCCATCTCCCCTGGGCCACTGCCAACGTCCGCCTCACTGCCGTAGCCCAAGCGGCCTTGCAACTCTCCGCCGGCGCCCCAGCACTTCACGCCGCCCGAGGCCAGGAGGAGGGCGCAGTTGTGCCAGCCGCCGGAGCACAGCGAAAGCTTCTGCTGGCCTTGCAGGGTTCCAGAATATTGCAGGGCTAAGCGAAAAGATTGTACAGGCATTACAGCATGGACGTTACAAATTCTCGCTGCCACGTGCGGAACAAAGAAGAGTCGCGAGCCCTGCCAACCACGTATACCAGACCCTCCACATTCCGACACGCACAGTCAACATCACGGCTCGGATCTGTACGCGCAGTGCTCAAGCGCAATGTGCCAAAAACCCGAGGCCACATCATGCCATGCCACTCCAGGGGCCTCGGGCCGTGGACTGTGCGGGCTGCCAGCCGACCACTGAGTCCACCGCCACCATGCATTCGGAACTTACGGCCCCGGAGCTCAGGAATCTCAACGCCTCTGTGCCCGTAGGGAGGGTCACCTTAGCTTGCTGCCAGGCGTCCTCCTGTGAGCCTCGGGTGCGACGTGAGCAAAAACCATGGTGGAAACAGGCTGAGAGCACTGTGACAACGGGCCCCTCGGCGCCTCGACGTGACCAGCGCCTCCACCAGTCGCCGCCACGGAGGTACTGCAGCTCGAGGGTGCCGATACCGGATCCCAGCATGTGGTACGCAAACTCCACGTAGCTCTCAGAGGCGGTCGCCGGGAATGCAGGACTTGTCAAGGCGAACTCCTGCACAGGCAAGGGTACCTCAATGAGGTAACCTTCAACAACCCCCTTCCCCTCCTTCCATGCTTAGTACTTGCTTAATGAGGCTTCAATACGGCTCCTCGACAGTGAGTAGGCGAGTGAACCTGTTAATGAGATCAAGGTGCACGTACCAGTCTCCGAAGCCGGCAGTGTCCGGGCCTGTGGTCTCCCAGCCTGAGTCCCCCGTGCGGCGCCGCCAATAGTCGAGATAGGAAGACCAACCGCAAAAGCCATCCTCGAAGCTACAAGCAGCATCCGCCAACACCTGCACCGCATCGACCACCACCATGGCATCAATCTTCACCGCGTCCTCGGCCGCGGAGAGGCGCGCCAAGAGACGCAAGCCCACAGTGCCTTCGGGGACCTTGACCACTGCATACTTCCAGGAGGACCCCGAGTCGCCAGTCTGCTCAAAGGCACCGGTAAGCCATCCGGCCGAGGTCTTGTACTCCATCTCCAATGACGTAGGGCTCGTAGAGCTCCAGCTCTTCAGCTGATATGCAAAGAGCAGTGCCTTTTGGGTACGTGTTTCGTTGAAGTGGAGGCTCTCCATGACAAAAGCGCCCGACGCACCTGTGGCTAGCAAGTACCACTGTCCGTCATTGGCCTGGTCGGACTCGGCCTCCGCCCACAAGAAGTCGCCTGTGTTGAACCAGAGGCATGTGTCCACCTCAAAGCTGCAGCTCAACATCTCGAGATGCACCTGGAAAGCCAGAAACGCGCTTGCGGGGTTCTTGCGAGGGCATGCGAAGGCTCAGGGTCTGGGTACAGCATTGCACAGCCTCACCAGCTTCGAGACAGATCTTCCAGCCGGAATCTGCCACGGTTTCATCCTTTGCTGCAAAAGATTTCAGGCAAGAGCAACAGTACAACTTGTTGCCACCCGACTGTGAACTGATTAGAGAGCTCGTGCTCCTCGTAGCTTGAGCGATCAACTCGTCACACACGCACACAAAGAGTCAGCACGAATCAGCATGGCTCCAGCCGGGCTGCTGAAGCCCATGTAATCCTCCCTCGTGGAAGCACTCCCAGGGGCCCTTCTGTGCCGGAAAACTGCATGCCATTGATCGTGAGGGAATCGAACCACTCCTCCGTTGCGAAACTCGCCACGTCGATCACCCTTGGGCGCCGCGCCGGGGATCAAAGGCCGCCGAGAAGACGCAGCGGTCGTTGTTGGGATACGCGTTGGGGAAGTTGCTGCTGCTGATGCAGGCCCCGTCCACTCTGCAGGACCTGGGCGTGAGCGTAAGCCGCACAGCCGAACATGGCTGAGCTTGGCAGATTCGAGTCTTGCTGCAATCGGGTGAGAAGCTCATGGTTGGGACTGAGGTGCTGGCCCGGACTCCAATACCCACACCTGCACAAGGGCCCAAGATGACTCTGTGTTGTATTTTGGGCCTTCGGCTTGAGTTCTCTGCTTTGCTGAGAGATGATCGACCCCATTTCAGGTACCCAACACTGAGCGTCCCAAGCTCAGACTTGATTCGTTGAAGTTGGTGCGGGACGAAATGGGTCCTTTTGAGCTTCCTGCCACCCCACCCTCCCTCCATCTCCACCCCCCACGGCCTTTGGGAAGGGAAGGCTCGAAAGCGCGCGTTGGCGCAGTTTTTCTCTCCACCCCTCCTACCGTCCCCTCAAAGCCATGGGCTTTGTCCTAGCCGTCAGTTCGCGCTTCAAAGTCCGTCCAAAGCCTGCGGCAGAATCCAGGTGCGTTGCTATCCTGTGTGCTGTTCTTAACGGAATGTGAACAGTCCCACACAAAGAAGCCTCCTAACAACCTCTCAAGTGAGGAAAAACCAGAATGTCGGAATCATGAAGCTGTTTCCCATTAAATGCACCCTCCCTTGGTTACTAACAAGCCCTTGCATAATCCTGAACATCCTAAATCGGGCGTGGCACCGTTCTAAGGCAGATCTTCCAGCCAGAATCTGTGACACCTCCGTCCTTGAGTGCTGCGAGTCTGTCTAAGACCACAGTGACCTACGCCTAAACGCCATCGGAGCATATCGGAGCCAGATGTGCAAACACGTGATGGGCTATCGGCATAAACCTCGTGTTGCGGCTGGGCATCGGAGGACCATGTGATGTCGGCCGTCGGCACGATGTCCACAGGTCCGGTGGACCCATCGTACGCCACGCCGTTCACCAGCAAACGATCCTTGCCTGCTTCTGTGCTGAAGGCGACCACATCGATGGCCTGCATGTTGTCCGAGGCGACTGCGATGGTGCAGGCATCATTGTCCGGGTACTGCCCGCCGATGTCCTGGTACCCGGTGCTGCTGATGCAGCCGTCTGGGTCCATGCTGCAGCTCCTTGGCAGGTCGGGCAAGCCATTTGAGCCTATTGAGCCTTGCCGCTCACGACATCTCGAGACACATCCTTCACATCCTTTCCACACATCCATGATCACTCTGCAGGACCACATCCCGGCGAACTGTTTCAGCACTGAGCCGCACGCCCTGATGCCACGCGCCAGGCAAGTGCAGCCTGCAGGCACACGTCCACACAGCACCGCTTGAAGCGGGACATGCCTTTTGATGAAGGAAGGAAAAGACGGAGAGACGGGGAGAGAGACAACAGAGAGTATACCCGGCACGGCCTCAGCAGCTGCGAGACAAATCTTCCAGCCGGAGTCTGTGACACTTTCATCCTGTGCTGCTGCAACCGATGACAGGCAACAGTGGCAACAGCAACAGTGAAGCCTCTCATGAAAGCCTCGCCATAGATCACACCAAGCCGCTGCAGCCCATGTGATCCTTTCTCGCGGAAGGACTCCCGCCGGCCCTCCGGTACCAGAGAACTGCACGCCGTCGATGGTCAGGATATCCCAATCCAGCTCGGTTGCGAAACTCGCCACGTCGATCACCCTTGGGCGCCGGGGATCAAAGGCCGCCGAGAAGACGCAGCGGTCGTTGTTGGGATACGCGTTGGGGAAGTTGCTGCTGCTGATGCAGGCCCCGTCCACTCTGCAGGACCTGGGCGTGAGCGTAAGCCGCACAGCCGAACATGGCTGAGCTTGGCAGATTCGAGTCTTGCTGCAATCGGGTGAGAAGCTCATGGTTCGGACTCAGGTGCTGGCCCGGACTCCAATACCCACACCTGCACAAGGGCCCAAGATGACTCTGTGTTGTGCGTGGGCCTTCGGCTTGAGTTCTCTGCTTTGCTGGGGGACCCTGTTCGAGCGCAGGTGAACTGTCCCATACAACAACCCTCCCATCATCAAGCTCCCAACTGTTGGACTTACCTACCTGTGCGGTGCGAATTTGTTCAAGGTCTTGGCCATGAGGCACCATCAAGTGCATCCGTACTTGGTTGCTTTGCATCAACACATCAACAAGCCCTTGCAGAATCCTGAACATCCTGAATCGGGCGTGGCACCGATCCAGGGCAGATCTTCCAGCCGGAATCTGTGACACCTCCGTCCTTGAGTGCTGGCAGGCTGTCTGAGACAGCACTGAGCTACGCCTAAACGCCATCGGAGCCAGATGTGCAAACACGTGATGGGCTATCGGCATAAACCTCGTGTTGCGGCTGGGCATCGGAGGACCATGTGATGTCGGCCGTCGGCACGATGTCCACAGGTCCGGTGGACCCATCGTACGCCACGCCGTTCACCAGCAAACGATCCTTGCCTGCTTCTGTGCTGAAGGCGACCACATCGATGGCCTGCATGTTGTCCGAGGCGACTGCGATGGTGCAGGCATCATTGTCCGGGTACTGCCCGCCGATGTCCTGGTACCCGGTGCTGCTGATGCAGCCGTCTGGGTCCATGCTGCAGCTCCTTGGCAGGTCGGGCAAGCCATTTGAGCCTATTGAGCCTTGCCGCTCACGACATCTCGAGACACATCCTTCACATCCTTTCCACACATCCATGATCACTCTGCAGGACCACATCCCGGCGAACTGTTTCAGCACTGAGCCGCACGCCCTGATGCCACGCGCCAGGCAAGTGCAGCCTGCAGGCACACGTCCACACAGCACCGCTTGAAGCGGGACATGCCTTTTGATGAAGGAAGGAAAAGACGGAGAGACGGGGAGAGAGACAACAGAGAGTATACCCGGCACGGCCTCAGCAGCTGCGAGACAAATCTTCCAGCCGGAGTCTGTGACACTTTCATCCTGTGCTGCTGCAACCGATGACAGGCAACAGTGGCAACAGCAACAGTGAAGCCTCTCATGAAAGCCTCGCCATAGATCACACCAAGCCGCTGCAGCCCATGTGATCCTTTCTCGCGGAAGGACTCCCGCCGGCCCTCCGGTACCAGAGAACTGCACGCCGTCGATGGTCAGGATATCCCAATCCAGCTCGGTTGCGAAACTCGCCACGTCGATCACCCTTGGGCGCCGGGGATCAAAGGCCGCCGAGAAGACGCAGCGGTCGTTGTTGGGATACGCGTTGGGGAAGTTGCTGCTGCTGATGCAGGCCCCGTCCACTCTGCAGGACCTGGGCGTGAGCGTAAGCCGCACAGCCGAACATGGCTGAGCTTGGCAGATTCGAGTCTTGCTGCAATCGGGTGAGAAGCTCATGGTTCGGACTCAGGTGCTGGCCCGGACTCCAATACCCACACCTGCACAAGGGCCCAAGATGACTCTGTGTTGTGCGTGGGCCTTCGGCTTGAGTTCTCTGCTTTGCTGGGGGAAACTATAGACCCCGCGCCTGGGCACATCAGCTTGAATTCCGAGTACCCAACACTGAGCGTCCGAGCTCCAATTTGATTCGTTGCAGTTGTGCGCGACCATGGCATTCAAACGAGACGGGTTTCCGCCACCCCACCCTCCGCTCCATCTCCACCCCCCAAGTCCCGCCCCCAAGGCAAGGAAAGCTTGAAAACGTGCGCTTGCGCAGTTGGTCTCTCCACCCGGCTGTCCCCTCAAGGCCATGCACTTTTTCCTAGCCGTTTATTTTCGCGCTTCTAAAGTCCGTCCAAAGCCTGCGGCAGAATCCAGGTGCGTTGCTGTCCTGTGTTCTGTCTCTTAAGCGAATGTGAATCCGAACAACCTCCCAAATCAAGAAAAAAACCCCAACGTTGGAATCATGAACTCTCCCTTGGTTACTAACAAGCCCATCCTAAATCGGGCCTGGCACCGTTCTAAGGCAGATCTTCCAGCCAGAATCTGTGACACCACCGTCCTTGAGTGCTGCGAGTATAGGAGGCCGATGTGCAAACACGTGATGGGCTATCGGCATAAACCTCGTGTTGCGGCTGGGCATCGGAGGACCACGTGATGTCGGCCGTCGGCACGATGTCCACAGGTCCGGTGGACCCATCGTACGCCACGCCGTTCACCAGCAAGCGATCCTTGCCTGCTTCTGTGCTGAAGGCGACCACATCGATGGCCTGCATGTTGTCCGAGGCGACTGCGATGGTGCAGGCATCATTGTCCGGGTACTGCCCGCCGATGTCCTGGTACCCGGTGCTGCTGATGCAGCCGTCTGGGTCCATGCTGCAGCTCCTTGGCAGGTCGGACATTGGAATGTACGGCACCGACTGGAAGTGAGACGCGCTCAACCCTGCTTCTGCGGCTGTGTGCTGCTCATCTATAGACTCTATCTCGGGTGCGAACCCGTAGGTGACTTCCCAGCCTGCAGAAGGATGCGCTCAAGGAACGTGCGAAAAAGACAACAAAGCAGCCACCCCAATCGTGAGTGTCGCAATGCGTGTGCCTGTGTGCGTGTGTGCGTGTGTGCATGTGTGCGTGTGTGCGTGTGTGCGTGTGTGCGTGTCTGCGTGTGTGTACGTGTGCGTGTGTGCGTGTGTGCGTGTGTGCGTGTGTGCGTGTGCGCGTGTGCGTGTGCGTGTGCGTGTGCGTGTGCGTGTGCGTGTGCGTGTGCGTGTGCGTGTGCGTGTGCGTGTGCGTGTGCGTGTGCGTGTGCGTGTGCGTGTGCGTGTGCGTGTGCGTGTGCGTGTGCGTGTGCGTGTGCGTGTGCGTGTGCGTGTGCGTGTGCGTGTGCGTGTGCGTGTGCGTGTGCGTGTGCGTGTGCGTGTGCGTGTGCGTGTGCGTGTGCGTGTGCGTGTGCGTGTGTGTGCGTGTGCGTGTGCGTGTGCGTGTGCGTGTGCGTGTGCGTGTGCGTGTGCGTGTGCGTGTGCGTGTGCGTGTGCGTGTGCGTGTGCGTGTGCTTGTGCGTGTGCGTGTGCGTGTGCGTGTGC